AAGATGTGGTCTCTATCCTTGCCAGAGAGGCAAATATATGCAGACTTGTAGATATGACCCTATTCTTCACCCTGGCAGGCATTGCTAGTCAATCTCTGTGCTCTTTCCTAGTGAGCCTCAAAATCCTTCTCAACACACCTTTGTGACAGCCCCTACTGGAGCTGGAGATGGAGCTCCCATGTGGCACTCCCAGTTTTGTGGATTCCCCATGAGGAGGCGATGTATCTGAGCTAACCCTCCTCTCCAGCACAACTTCACCCCTTCGTCCATCCTGGTCCTGGAGAAAACATTTTAAGGAGTTAGCAGGTAGAATCCTTCCTCTCAAATCTCACTTCAGTCCCTAAAGGAGATGGGAATGGGAAGAAAGCAAGCGCCCGCCCACCCTCCCTCTCTCCCTCCCTCCTTCTGTGCTCTCTCTCTCTCTTTCTCTCTCTCTCTCGTTTTTATTTTTATTTTTCTTGGAAACTGTAACTAACCTGTTTCCCCAAAAATAAGACAGTGTCTTATATTAATTTTTTCTCCCAAAGTTGCGCTAGGTCTTATTTTCAGGGATGTATTATCTTTCCATGCGCTAGGTCTTATTTTCAGAGTATGTCTTATTTTCGGGGAAACACGGTAGTAGTGAAATGGGCTTACAAAAGGGGTGACATTTAGTTTTTAGTTAAACTAGACGGGATTCCACTGGCAATGATTTTGAGTGAGTGATCTGTCAGCCTGCGTCCCTCTTGTGTTTTTTTTGCCTTTGGGGCTTGGAGAATCATTAGCTCTCTGAGGAAGGGTCCCAGGGCAGAACTGGGGCTTCTGGAAACAGCTTTCAGATGGCTCCACCAGTGTCAGGAGACTGAAGAGAAGGTTTGAATGGGCTGGGAATTAAATGCTCCCTGATCGGTTCAGACAAGCCTGGCTCCCCCATGAGCACACAACTCCATTACAATTGCTGTGAAAAATGAGGCGTGCCTCTGCAGCTCGGAAAACTGGGAGCTGGCCCAGTTCATCTCGCCTGAGAAATGAGAGCTGGCGTGCGGATCAGCCTCTGGCTTCTCCTCTCCTGGCTGGTGGAGCTTTCACAGGCAGCACTAGTTCATTTCTGCTGTTGTTTCACACCTCTCAGCGCCTTCAAGGTCTGTGAGGAACCGGGAAGTGGAGGGAAGGTGGGGGCTAGTGCTCAGTCTGCAGAAAAAATCCCAGAATTCAGTCAGTGGAGGTCACTGGGATTTAGTCTAAGATAAAAAAGAAAAGACCAGATGGGGACAGGAATCCAGTATGAAGTCTGTGTAATGTATTATTTCCCCCTTATTCCCACCCATCCGTCCACCCAGCCACCTAGCAATTCATTCACCCATCTACCCATTTGTCCATCTATTCAGTCATCTGTCTATCCAACCATTCATCCACCTACCTATCCAAACATTCATCCATCCACCCATCCATCCACCTACCCACCCACCCACCTACCTACCAATCCATTTACCTATCCATCCATCCACCCATCCACTCACTCACCTAGCACTTAATCTATCTACCACTCATCTGCCCATATTGCCTATCATCTGTTCACCCACCCACCTCTCTAACCATTCTTTCATCTATCTATCCATTCACCCACCCACCCATCTCCTATCCATCCATCCATCCACATTCCCACTCACCCACCTAGCATTTTACCATCTATCCACTCTTCTGTTCATCCATCCACCTACCCACATGTTCATCCATCCACACACCCACCAACCAGTCCATCGACCTATCCATCTATCCACCCATCCACCTGTTCATCAGTCTATCCCTTTATTCTAGAATGAGTTTAGATGGTTCATGGTTGGACATATTTTAAACTAGAGTCCCAGTGCACGAAATTCATGCACTGGGGTGGGGGTGGGGGCGGGGAGGAGGGGAGTGTCCCTCAGCCCAGCCTGCACTCTCTCCAATCTGAGACCCCCTCAAGGGATGTCTTACTGCCTATTTAGGTGGGATTGGGCCTAAATTGGCAGTCGGACATTCCTCTCACAATCCAGGACTGCTGGCTCCCAACCGCTTGCCTGCCTGTTTTCCTGCCTGATTGCCCCTAACTACTTCTGTCTGCCAGCCTGCTCACCCCCTAACCACTCTTCTGCCAGCCTGATCAATGCTTAACTACTCCCCTAACTGCCCTCCCTGCTGGCCTGGTCACCCAAACAGCCCTCCCCTGCGGCCTGGTCACCCCCAACTGTCCTTTCATTTAGGCCTCGTTGCCCCCAACTATCCTCCCCTGCCAGCCCAGTTGCCCGTAACTGCCTTCCCCTGCTGGCCTGGTTGTCCCTAACTGCCCTTCCCTGCAGATCTGGTCCCACCCGACTGCCCTCCCCTGTTGGCTTGGTCCCCCGACTGCCTTCCCCTGCAGGCCTGGTTCCCCCCAACTGCCCTCCTCTGCCAGCCTGGTTGCCCCTAACTGTCTTCCCCTGCAGGCCAGGCCGCCTCCAACTGCCCTCCACTGCTGGCCCAGTCACCCCTAACTTCCCTCCCTTGCCAGCCTGGTCTCTCCCAACTGCCCTCCCCAGCAGGCCTGGTCCCCCCTCTCCCCCCCAACTGCCCTTCCCTGCAGGCCTAATCTCCAACAACTGTTCTCCATTTTAGGCCTGGTCCACCCCCTGCAGGCCTGGGTCCCCCCCCCCCCCAACTGTCTACCCTGCAGGCCTGGTCACCCCCAACTGCCCTTCCTTGCAGGCCTGGGTCCCTCCCAACTGCCCTCCCCTGCTAGCCATCTTGTGGCAGACATCTTGTGTCCACATGGAGGAGGCCATATTGTGTGTTGGAGTGATGGTCAATTTGCATATTACCTCTTTATTATATAGTACTAGAGGCCTGGTGCACAAAATTCGTGCACAAGAGGGGGCGTCCCTAAGCCCAGCCTGCATCCTCCCTAATCTGGGATCCCTCTCACAATCCAGGACTGCTGGCTCCCAACTGTTCGCCTGCCTGCCTTCCTGATTGCCCCTAACCACTTCTTCCTGCCAGCCGAATCACCCCCTAACCTCTCCCCTGCCAGCCTGATTGATGTCTAACTGCTCCCTTGCTAGCCTGTTTGCCCCCAACTTCCCTCCTCTGCTGACCTGGTCACCCCTAACTGCCCTCCCCTGCTGGTCTGATTGCCCACAACTACCCTCCCTTTGCAGGCCTGGTCTCTCCCAACTGCCCTCTCCTGCTAACCATCTTGTGGTGGCCATATTGTGTCCACATTGGGGCAAGATCTTTGACCACATGGAGGTAGCCATCTTGTGTTTTGGAGTGATGGTCAATCTGCATATTACTCTTTTATTAGATAGGATAGAGGCCTGGTGTATGAGTGGGAGCCAGCTGGTTTGCCCTGAAGGGTGTCCAGATCTGGGTGGGGGTTCCTTTGCGGGTGTGGGGCGGCATAGTCGAGGGACTTGTGGTGGTTGCTAGCCGGCCACACCCCACAGAGACCGAAGAGGAGGCACTGGTATCTGGGACATATTTATCTTCTATAATTAAAACTTTGTAGCCTGGAGCAGAGCCAAGCCTTCTGCTTCCTCTGTGGCAGCAGCCATTTTTGTTGGGGTTTATTCACCTTCTATTATTGAAACTTTGTAGCCTGGAGTGGAGGCCTAGGCTGGAAAGCTTTACTTCCTCCATCACTGGGGAAACCTTAGCCTGCTTTCTCTATCTCTGTGGCTGCTGCTATTTTTGTTGGGATCTATCTTCTATAATTGAAACTTTGTATTTTTAAGCGGAGGCCTGGGCCAGCCAGGGTGTGCAGAAAGCTTGTCTTCCTCCATCGCTGTGGAAACCCAAGCCTCCCTCCTGCTTTCTCCATGGCCACAGCCATCTTGGTTGGGTTAATTTGCATACTCTCTCCTGATTGGCTGGTGGGCATGGCTGGTTGGTGTACTGTGGTGATGGTTAATTTGCATATTACTCTTTTATTAGATAGGCTAGTTACCTATAATTTACAGAAAATTATACTAGTTTTCCATATAGAATTTGATTTTAAAATAAATGTATTTAAACAAACAAAAGAGTCAAAATAGGAAATAAATAATTCTATGGGTTGTACAGGGTCGTGACCAAAATTAGGAAGATGGTACTTGCGTTACTGGCATCTGGAATCTACCGCTTTAGAATTTTGCCTGCAAGGGCACACATGCTAAAGCCCCTGGAGCCTGGATTCACGGTGACTGTGCTGCTTCTGAGGTGTATGACCTTGCGCAACTGACTTCCTCTCTCCAGGCCTCAGCTTCCTCACCTTCAAGGTGGGGATGCTAGCAACCCTTACCTTTGGGATTGTTTCACGATGTATTGAACTGAGGCATGTGTCAGCATACACCCAGCACACACTAAGCACTCTGTAAACGGAAGTGATGCTTAATTTTATTGTTTGCACACTGGCTTTCTTCAAGGCATTCTCTGGCTGCCCTGCCCAGGGGGACCTTGCATGGGTGAAGATAAACAAGCTACACGAGTGTTCTGCTTGGCTTTGGTTTAATTGTGATGTGGTCATTGTCCTTCCCGAGGGCAGCGAGCCTCCCTCTTACTGGGTTTGACGGGAGCTCACACCATCCTCTAATCCTCTATGTCAGTGGCTCTCAACCTTTCTAAGGCCGCAACCCTTTCATACAGTTCCTCATGTTGTGGTGACCCCCAACCATAAAATTATTTTTGTTGCTACTTCATATCTGTAATTTTGCTACTGTTACGAATCATAATGTAAATATCTGTGTTTTCCGATCATCTTAGGCTCTACAACCTGTGGGTCTTAGCAGGGTCCTAATACCATTGGAAAACACAGATATTTACATTACAATTCATTAACAGTAGCAAAATTACAGTTATGGATTAGCAATGAAATTAATATTATGGTTGGGGGGGTCACCACAACATGAGGAGCTGTATGGAAGGGTTGTGGCATTAGAAAGGTTGAGAACCACTGCTCTATGTAATGGGCCCAGGCCAGCTCCAACCCTCCGTGTAACAGGCTCTTCTCCTCTCTTCTCTCCCCACAGACACACTGTCAGTGCCGCGCTGGTCCCCGCAGATCTCTCGCAGAGACCTTAGCAACTCCATCAAGCACAGGTAGGCTGGATTCCTACCTCCCAGCGTGGTGAGGGCTGGGCACTGTGGCCCCCCTGCTGGGGAGAGGCTGGGCAGATGTGTCACTCCAGCTGCTGTCACCATGCTGCTCTCTCAGGGGCCAGGCTCAACCTCAGCATGATGGCCAGGGATTGAGATGCCTGCATCTTATTAACCTGGCCCTTAGGAAATTAGCACTTAATGGTTAAAAGCCAGGGCTTTGGAGTTTGACTGACCTGTGTTCCAATCCCAGATAGTAAAGCTCTGCAGCCTTGAGGAAGTTACGTAATCTCTCCGAGGCTCAATTTTCTCCTCAGATAATTCTGCCTACCCACAGGAGAAAATGGTTGTGGTTGTGAGGATTAAATGAGATACTATATTAAAGTGCTAAGCAAAGTCCCTGGTATATAAAAACCACTTAATAACTGGAATCCTTGTCAAAACGAATGCTTTACATCCCAATTTTGGGTCTCCCCACTCAGAAGACACAAGAATGGGTGGTCACTGCTTCTGAGGTGTCAGTCAGCTCAGAGCTGCAGCTGTGCTGAGTACACGGGGCCACCTCTGCAGGAACACCTGCCCTTTCAGGAGGGAAATTCAAAACTACCAGTCAGCCCTTAAAAGGAAATTATTTACTTTCCACAGTTTAGCTCATTATCCTCACAATCTCCTCAAAAACACAGTGGGGTAAATGGCAAAGGTGAGGTCATGTCCATTTGACAGATTGGAAAGCTGAGGCCTTGGACCATTCAGTGATGGGATTATTTTACGAGCTAGCTGACCTCAGTATTTCATGTTTTTTAAACACTGCTGCTGAGAGGCTTCTTTGCACCAAGGCCTCCATGAATGGGCTGAGGGACTAGTGCACTCATTGATGGATTCTTTCCACTTGTATATGTAGAGAATGTCTGCACCATGGCCGCAGCACTGAGAGAGATGTATGCCCTTGAGGATCTCATGGTCTGGTGGAGGGTGAAACAGCTAACAGACCCGGACAGGAGGGAGAGATTAGGGCTGTGGTGTGGAGGGCAGTGTCAGGGGAAGACGCATCCCCATAGTTGGGTGAGGCTGCATGAGCACGCAGTCCCGGAAAGGCATCTCAACAGTTCTTGGAAGAAATATGTTGACAGGACACTTGTTAAGTCTCAAATGAGAAAGTGGTGGGAGAAGTGGTGAGAAACGTGATAGACACATCAATGGTCAGGCAGTGAGATGCAGAGAGAAAGGCATTAAGGAGGGGCCTATTTTTTGTTTCTTTCCTTTGCACGGCCCCTTGGCTTAGCTCCATCTCTGTATTGTCCTCACCCCTGGCTAAGCAACGCCCTCCGACTCAGTTCTACACCCCAGATTGGCCACGTTCTTGGCTCAGTTCCACTCCCTGGTCAGAGCCTGCTATCTCTTGAAGAAGAGAGTACCCTGCCCCCAATGGGCTGGAAATGGAGGAATGCACCTCCATTCCTGCTGGTTCACCGCTGTATATCAGAGGCCCCCAAACTGCCTTGGTTGCAGCAAGTGGTGGTGGTTGGGAAGGGAGAGGAGCTGATGTTCTGAAAGGCTTTCTTTTTAGGGGACTCGCCTCTAGTTAGTGGTTTCAGCTTGTTGGGGCAAAGTCCCTTCTTGAAGCTTCCCAGGTGATGTGGCTAGTATTCATGGGCACTGACTTAGCGCAGTGGTCAGCAAACTGTGGCTCGAGAGCCTCAGTTTGCCACTCTGTTGAGTGCCAGGCGTCTTCAAACTACGGCCCGCGGGCCACATGAGGCCCGCAGAGGAATCTGATCCGGCCCGCCAGGTTTTTTGGGCAGTGAGCGCAGCCGAGGTGTTACAGTAGGAATTAGTAGTTCATATAGTCCGGCCCTCCAGCTCTCTGAGGGACCGTGATCTGGCCCCCACTTTAAAAAGTTTGAGGACCCCTGCTTGACTAATGAGTTTGCCAGCCACTGGCTTAGCAGGACTTTCCAGAGGCCTCATCTTGCTTTGGAGGCTACAAGGACAGTTCCAACCCCTTCCATAACTCTGCTCTAGACTGAACTTGGCACATAGTAGGCCATCAGGCAACATTTGCTGAATGACTGATTGACTGTTTAGGAATGATCAGGTAATACAATCACAACCCAATTAGTTGAGGGCGCATTATGCGTCAGGTGCTGTGTGAAAGCCCTGACATTATTTTTTTTTTTTTCCAATTTTTAAAGTAGTTTAATAAACTCCACAAAATAATAGATGCATTGAAATATTTACATAATTCAATTTTCAAATCTCATTCAAATAAAAGGGATAAAAATAAGATTTCTGCTTCAAAGGCAGCAGAACCTCTTTCTTGAAATGGATTGGTAAAATAAGGTACTTTACATGAGAGAAACTAATTTATGCTTGAGAGGTATTCATATTCAGCTAAGAAAATATGTCCCTTTTAAGCTCTATAGAATAGCCCTGACATTATTCATTACCTTGTTTAATCCTCCCGATGACCTATGAGGTCAATACTGCTATTATCCCATTTTACAGATGAGGAAACTGAGGCTCCAGGAGTTTAAGCAAGTTGATTAAATCACATGTTGGAAGAAGCAGGACTGCAAACAAGTTCCAGCCTGGAAGTCTTACCTTTAAGGGGTTCATCCTGATAGACACAGGTCAGACGCGTCACCATCACCCTAACCTTAACCATTTTCTGTCGCTTTCCCACAGGTTTTCCACCAAGTACTGGATGTCTCAGACGTGCACAGTTTGTGGGAAAGGGATGCTTTTTGGCCTCAAGTGTAAAAATTGCAAGTAAGTGGCTGTACCTGGAAGCGTCTTTTCACGATGCCTGCTGTTAGCCAGTGCTTCATCGGACCCTGAAGTGGCTGATGGGAGTTTGGTTTCTTGACTTCCATTTGAATTGCTTGCTCTGTTTTTTGGAAATCAATCTTAAATGATCCTGTATATTTGGGGAAGGGCTCAAGGGGAGCAGTTCTGAAAGAGAACCCAAGCTGATGGGTGGTGTTAAAAATAAATGCTTAGTGCTGTCTGCTGAGGTGTGGGGGCACCTTGCAGCTTCATAGCATCGAAGATAAGGGTTGGCAGACTTTTTCTGGAGCTGATCAGATAGGAAATATTCTAGGCTTTGCGTCTAGACCAGTGATTGACAAACTGCAGTTCACAAACCACACGCGGCTTGCAAGCCGCGGTTTGCCGCTCTGTTGACTAATGAGTTTGCCGACCACCGACCTAGACTCTTGATTTCAATAATTACAGGCTGTTGTTGCTCCTTGTGATTAAGCCCCTATCCCAGTGGTCGGCAAACCCATTAGTCAACAGAGCGGCAAACCGCAGCTCTTGAGCCACAAGTGGCTCACGAGCTGCAGTTTGCCGACCACTAGTCCAGGCCATAGTGTGTCTATTACAACTACTCGGCTCTGCCATGTAGCTCAAAAGCAGCCAGAGACGATATCCAAATGGGCATGACACATTTACATATTTTCATAAAACCTTATTTGCATAAATATTTTGCCAGCTGGCTTGGGCCTCTTGGCTATAGTTTGCCAATCCTTGAGTTAGACTTTGTGAAGTCTTTTTCTCCTTTATTGTTTCTCCTGTCAGATGGGGGGGGGGGGGGGAAGAGGAGGGTGATGATTCTCCCCATTTTACAGATGTGAAAACTGAGTCTCTCCTGCCTGATGTGGCAGTCAGGACTGAAACCCTGGCACCTAACTTTTCTGCGTTGGTCCTGAGTTCTCCCCCACCCCACATCCACACATCTGTTCCAGGTCATGGCTGGCAAAAGGTGGGGAAGCTGTAGAAAAGCCATGGTGCCTGATGTGGGCTCTTGAGTCAGACTAAGATGGGCTTACATTCTGGCTCTCTTACCTTATAGCTGTGTGACCGTGGGCTGTAGTTTGCCAATCCCCGAGTTAGACTTTGTGAAGTCTTTTTTTTCTTATTGGTTCTCTCTCAGCGGGGGGTGTGATGATTTTCCCATTTCTGTTTCTGGTCTTTTCATCTGCATGAGAGGAGTAATCATCATACCTGCCTAATGTGGCAGTGAGCATTCAAGAACTCAGCACTGGAGGATAGCGGTGCGGGGCAGGCCCAGGCTTCTGTCAGAGGTCACACATGCCTCTGCCTGGCCTCCCGCTCTCCTTCCGTAAATGTGTGTCAAATCCCACTCTGTCCAATCTCTGTAACATAGTCAATGACACTCAGCTGTATCAAAGAATTACAAATGAATGTACATCTGACTGCTGATGGGAGCCACTCAGATTAAAAGATGGCAGGCAGCTGCTGACTGGCATAGCTCAGTGGTTGAGTGTGGACCTATGATAAGGAGGTCAGGGTTCAATTCCCTGTCAGGGCACATGCCCGGGTTGCAAGCTCGATCCCCAGTAGGGGGTGTGCAGGAGGCAGCCAATCAATGATTCTCTCTCATCATTGATGTCTCTATCTCTCTCCCTCTCCCTTCCTCTCTGAAATAAATGAGAGAGAGAGAGAGAGAGAGAGAGAGAGAGAGAGAGAGAGAGAGAGAGAGAGAATATATATATATATATATATATATATATATATATATATATATATATATATAATTAAAAGAAAAAAAAAAGTCAGGAAACCTTCCTCTGTAGCCTTGTCTGTCCCAGGCTGCAAACTCTCATTTGGGCTCCTCCAGGCTCCCTCCCCCAGTCCTGCCTGGTGATGGAGGTGGGCTAGCCACAGGGGCCAGGCTCCCTCTTCCCGCCAGCCTGGAGGGCTCACCTGAGTGATGAAGGGAAGGCTCCGGTCCCTTGTGGGAAGGGTTAGTTAGTTCCAGCCCCTAAGGAGCCTTCAGCTCCGTGAACATAGAGAAGGCAGACAGGAGGCCGCATGCCCACCTTGGTCCTCCACAGACCCAGCTCTCAGGTGAGCCCTGAAGATGTCGGGCCCTGGTCTTTCCCACTCCGAGAGGCACAGGCCAGGCCCTGGGCTCCAACCAGAAGGCCGTCTGCTTCCCCCCAGCACCAGCTGCTCCGGGCTGCGCGCAGTCACACCGTGTTCTGTGGGGGACGAGGCAGCTTTCACAGCCTCGCACCTGCGGTGTGCAGGCTTTGAAGGCAGGTAATTAGGTGACAGGGACACAGCCAGGAGTCGGAGAGGCTGAGGCTTCCTGAGCCGGTTTAATTTTCGGCACTGGATGCAGAGCTCAGAGGCAGCCCGTGCTTCTGTCCTCTGTTCCAGCAGTAATGAGCAAAGGCTCAGAGCCTGCCAAGGGTTGGGGTGCGGGGGGACTGGGGAAGCATGAGGATCTGGGGGAGGGCTGGCTGCTGGAAGCACAGATTTTGGAAGCAGCCAGAACCCAGTGTGAGTCCCAGCTCCATCGCCCAACTCCCTGTATGAGCCGGAGCAAGAAGCTTGCCCTCTGGGAGCTCAGTTTCCTTATCTGTAAAGTGGGCGCACTACGAGACCCACCGCAGGACTGTGGGAAGGAGTCAGTGACATGTCCTTGCCCCCGAGTTACAAGGGTTTATTACAGGACTTTCTCCCTGGTGTGAGCATGGCAGAATTCAAACCGTGCCATGCTCCACTGTGCCATGGGCTCCGGTGTGCTGAGCCCTTAGGAAACCTGCCACAGTGGGACGCAGACAGGGTCCGGCACGCTCAGGGGCCCTGACATGTCCCTGTGTGACTGCAGCAGGGTGAGCGCTCTCTCCAGTCTGGAGCGGTGAGCCCGTGTCACAGGCATCGCAGTTGAAATTTGAATGTTTTCTGTGAACAAAACCCGGTCACTTTTGCATTAAGAACAGCGAGGATGGGCGGTCATTGGTATTTGTTTTCAAACGTAGCAAGTTTTGGACACACTTATGGGCAAGGTAGAAGGGCTGGATGAGGGTCAGAGACAGGAGGCACACAGACCCCACTATCCAGGAGTTTAGGGGGGACACAGCTGTTGAGAAATGAATTTCAGTGAAACAGAAGTGCACGGATAAGACAGTGGCTGGTGGAATTTCAGAGAGGTGGCATCGAGACTGGGGTGGGGTGGGGGCGGGGGTGGCGAGGGCAGGGGCGCAGCTTCTTAGAAAAAATGAGCAGAACCATTTGTTCATTTACTCATGAGATTTTTATTATTTTTAAAATCTGAGATAAATAAGGTAACATGCTCAGCCTACTACTTGGCCCATGATAAGATCTTAATAAACAAAAGTGAATACAGTGTCTAATGTTATGAAGTCAGGAGACTCCCGAGTGTCTCACCCCCTTCCCTCCTGCTTCTGTGTCATGCCCACTTCCTCCGGAATTATCATCAGCTTCCTTGTTGTTCTGAATAGAGAGATTAATGAACTAATAGGAAATTATGCTCAGAAAGCAATTTGCCGTTATCTAAATTGAGGCGTTTTCATCAAATAGGTTCATGAGTGTGGAGTGGAGTTCCATTCTAAGTGGTCGGATGTCAGCACAATTGAGTATTGTCTGATAATGTGGGTTCAGCTGGGTGAAGTTTGCCTTTGCAAGAAGGTGCTGATGGGTTCCCCAGCCTTGATCATTCTATCTGCCTCTTTTCTCTGTGGGCAGCTGAGGCCTGGGGCCTCTCCCCTTATCTGCATTTCAAGATGGGATTTGGGTAGCTGTATTCTGAAAAGCAAGAGTTGGAACCACGGTGCTTTTAGTTCTGCATGGGCTGGAGTGTGGGAGGGAGGGGGTGTCTTCTAAAACCTCCATAAAGCACTTGTAGGAATACCCATCTCAGGATCTGCCTCTAGGGAGCCTAACTCAGTAAGACAGCATCGGAGTCCAGAGTCCGAAGCCAGAGAGAGCTGGGTTCAGGCTCTAACTCTGCCACCTCCCAGCGGAGTGACTCTGGAAAAGTTTCTAAACCTCCCTGATGGAAAATGAGGCTCATGCACACATTCATTCAAAGTGATAAGACATGTACTGGCACATCAATGACTTAGGTAGGGATTCATTCAAATCAGGATCTTTAAATAAGTTGTTCAGCATTTTCTTCATTGCAGAAATGGATTTTCTATTAATATGAAGTATAAACAATGAAATAAAAACCATATCACCTCTGTGGGTTGAAGCAAGGGCAATGGTCTGGAAAATCTAGCTTATTTCCTACTTCTCCGTAGTTCTCATTCTCTGTTTTTCTTTGGGGATCTTCTGAACCAGTCACGGTAGGAGACAAATTGGAGGGTTTCTATCCATGTTTCTCAACTGGGCACCATTGCCATTTGGGGCCAGGTGATTCTTTGTCTAGGGATCTCTTATGGGTGTTTCAAAGAATTGCTGGCCTTCACCCACTAGATGCCAGTAGCCCTTCAACTCTACCCTCAGTTGTGACAACCAAAAATGTCTCCAGACATTGCTAATGTCCCTGGGGTGAGGGAGGAAGGCAGCAAAATTGCCCTTGGTGGGCAAGCATTGGTTATGTAGTAAATCACTCATTCCCGGCCCCTGGGACTGTTATGCATTGTTCCATTTCAGAGTGCTAGCATTATAGTACGATTTCTTTCTTTTCTTTTTTTAAAAATGATCTTGTGCTTAAAAATATATATCTTTATACATTTAAGAGAGGAGGGGAAAGAGAGAGGAATATCAATGATGAGAAAGAATCATTGATCAGATGCCTCCTGCACTCTCTCATGGGTATCAAGCCCACAACCCGGGCATGAGTACTGACCAGGAATCAAACTGTGACCTCCTGGTTTATAGGTCAACACTCAACCACTGAGCAACACTGGCTAGGCTACCGTGCTATTTCTAAAATAATCAATAGGTTATACAGCGATCAAACATTCTGGTTTGTCTGGGTTGAGCACTCA